GGTGCATACGTTTCTTAGAAGTTCTGTATCACAATACAAAGGTCTAAGTTAAATTTATTTTCATAATTTGGTTCGAAACCAGTATCTCCATGAATGATTTCTCGAGTGGAAAGAATTTTACGAACATTATACTTGGCTAATCACAGACCTCTTTGTACATGTTGATTTAAAAGAGGTGGAAGAATCATCGTCCCGAAAAAAAATAGTGCTTCTATTAACACAGTCCAACGATTTAACAAACTCGGTATTTTCGTATTAGCAATTATATTATTATAATTATATTATAAATGATTATTATTGCTATTATTGTATTACTTTGGTTTATACTCGTAGAAATGAATATACCAGTGTTTACAATAATTGGGAGGATTGTTGTCGTATTTAGTTTTCGTTACAAGGTATTATAATGTCCATATTATCAAGTTCTGTATAATTGAAATTATACAAAACAGGTAGTCACTCTCTCATCATTCGCGTAAATCATGATATATAATACCTTCTAACAGTATAACATACTTATAGAAATATTAGTACAACGTTACTAAATAATATTTTCATGTGAGTCTATAGGCACATGTATTGTACGTGTATACCAATATATTGAAATAATTCTTTTTAACCATGCAGAACGCATATTACAGAAAAAAACAAGCACACCATCAGGTATTTCAATTTCTCGTTTATTTTCAATGATCATTCATACTTCACAGCCCGTGCAAATCGAACGATATTACAAGTAGGATCTGACGGTAATGAAAAAGAATGCCTATCCCGACGACATCGCTGTCCATTCGTGTGAGTTTTAAAATAGCACGCGGTTTCCCCTTCCTGGTGGCCGCAACTATTACGACGCGTCTTCCATTCATAAATAGGGAAGCACTTGTCGTGCGGGCGGCCATCTTGACTACGCGATCAACGAAGCTTCTTTTATTTTGACCACCCGGACTATACATTTCCTCGTATAATAATCACAGCACGAACAATTATAAATCTCCAAAGAATATTTTCCGCTCCCGAAACATCCCCATCGTTACACCCTAAATCGTTTCGAATGTTTTAGTTGTTCCGTTGACCACCGTCGTGTCAGTACGCAGTGCACAGCTGATCAGTGGCCCCGACGGACGGTCGCCGCTCGTTCGTTCCTTGAAATCCCCGAAAAACGACAGAAAAGTTGCTGTTAACCCGCGTCACCGTACAGTGACAGTTGAAATTCGAATCCTCGCCACGTGTAACAAAGTTGCGCCGTTCGGAAAGTGTCTCCGTCAAGTGTACGAAGTGTGCGTTACCGTTTCCCATTCGTTGGACGTTTCCAATGGTTGCCGTCCGGTGAGTACAAGCCCACGGATTTTAAAACCGGGTCCTTCACTGTTTAATGCAATTACACCGTGCTTCGACTCCATCTTTGAAACTTCTTTCGCCGTTCCATTTCTCCTGACATTTCGGTTTCAAATGGGGAACCGTTTAGTCGGGTCAATCACGGGGGCAGACTTAAACAGAAATTTTTCGATCTCAACCGATCGGTCGGGTCTCGGTCCATGCGACACGAAAATACACCTAACCGCGGAATGCACAGGAAATGCAACAACAATGTACTCGCCGAGAGTATTTACAATAACTACGTCTCGTTCCATTGTTTTCTTAATTACTGTACGCTCACCGATTTCCGGGAGCGTGTGTTAGTGTACCGACGCAGGACTGTTATCAGTAAAGCTGAACGTCACTTTTTTTTCATTATCAGTGGTAACGCTATACCAGACAAGCCGATGAGTTAATCGTTACATATATCCCCATGGTTATTTCTCTTTAAAAATAATTTCTATCGAACTTCCAAAAAAAGACGAACGAAAACATCGTTTTCTAACGAGTATAGGTTGGCGTTCGAGACAGTCGGGATTGTTTCAGAAAAGTTGCGAACGATTGTGATTCTATTTTCTCGAGCGTGTCATAGAGGCATAAGAGGAACCCAGGGTCAATCGATGCCACGAATTCCAAACTTCGTCGACGATTTTAGCCGCGCTGACGGACGTGCCACTCGATTTAAAAACTACGTAAGCCGGCGGGTAGGTGTTCTGTGGTTCGAAAATGACCGTTAACCGTGCGCGTACTACTAGGCATATCGTGGTCATTGTACGCGGGAATAAAAATACGCGGGTAAATGTTTATCCGCGACAGGATAGCGTCTTCTGTGAGTTATGTAATCGAGTTAATCGTTCGTTCGTTCGAAATCGGCCGGGAATTCATCCAGTTGTCCGGTGAATTCCGATGGAACGG